TCCAATGAGAGTATATCGACTCCCATGGAACATCCTCGAATACTCGATCATCGACATACAACTCGCGGTTATCAATGGATTACATTTCCTGCCCCGAGGTGCTTGTTCCTCCGGCTCGACCCGTAGATGATCGATAGGTTGTACGTGGCTCCGTCCAAAGATAGTCGGCGCATGTCTAATGACGTCTAGTTCGAACCAACTAATTAAAGCCGGTCCGGTAACGTCTTTCCCCCCAAGTGTCCCCGGTAGCCTCGAAGACTCAATTCCCGGCGAAAGAAGCGCGTCTCGCTTATGAAGAGACATAATCGGCTGCGATAACCGCTCGTAATAGATATCCCGTTACCGTGCATAGAGTACGCGTCGACGTCGCGACGTCGGCCGGCGGTGCATTACGCGTATGTACCTCTCTGTCCTTTGTACGCTCGTTAGATGCGTGTCACGCGCGAGCTGCTGCCGCGACACCGCTCGACCGAGTGTGTGGCCTCGCGTACGCGTCCACCCCCTACGTACATGCAACTACCAGGAAGCGCAGTCCAAGCCCGATACAAACAGCCGGAAATAAATCGGTTCGAAGGAAAAGAAAAATTAATCACCAAATGAATCGCACCTCTTGGGTTGGCGCCTAAATTCGTGCCACATACAAATTCGAAATTTTATCATTTCTCTTCTCTAAGCGAGGGATCGATGTACACTAAGCTGGAATTGCAAAAAATTCGAAATTAGGTACTTCTCGGCGCAATTAATTTGCAATTAATTCCCACGTGAAGAAATGGTTCGATTCTCCCATGTTTTTCATGTTTCTGTCCTGCGATCAGCACTAGGGGGTGAGCCAAAAAATTGCAATTTGGTCTTTCTGCGAGCAATTAATTAGCAATAAATTCTGGTACGTAATTCATCGATGAACATTTACTTAATTATTTTTGTTTTATTGTGGCAGTGCGGGCTTTATATAAAGCTGACATCGCCACTATTTTTCGGAAAACTATAAGAGCGCAAAGAATTTCTTTCTTCTGCAATAAATTAGCAATAAATTTTGCAGAAAATTTTATTGAATTGTGCTAAAGTGGCAATCGACCGTCTGAGAATGACAACGGAGGCGAGCGCATTGCCGATAGATACCGTAAAATTGTCCCAATGAAAATAATGTTTATAACCCCGGAAAAACGTCTCGAGCTCGTGGGCTATTAATATGGAACGAGAACCAGTTCCATTTCCATATTCCTGAATTTGACTCTTAAATCAATCTACCGAATCTCCGATTAGATAATGTTTGGGCGTTTATACAACGAATGACAATGTTAACGGCAAATTGATCGGCCTCGGCGCCGCCTTCGCGGCGGATATTCTCCCAGGGCGGCGTACGTGTGTCCCTTATCACGAGCACGCACGATTGCCGGATGAGCGCGTGTGCGTGCGTGCGGGGGCACGCTCGGCTCTCGCGACATAAATGGGGAACGAGAAAGCCGCTCTCGGGGTCTTTGCTTCGCAATGCCCGGCTCGCTCGAGTTATCGCGCGAGTTGCACAAAGAAACGTAAACAGACCGGCCGAGCTTTGCGTGGGCGCAGGAGGAGCCGACATTAGGCGACCTCCTAGGAGTCGCGCTAAAGAGCGAGGACAGGATTGCCAAAAAAATAAAAATTAAAAAAAATAAAAATAAAATAAAGAAAGGAAGAGGAAAAGTGGAAAATGAAAGGGAAGAAAATACATACAACATACGCCCACTTTGCGTGGGTACAGGAGGAGCCGACATTAGGCGACCTCCTAGGAGTCGCGGTAAAGAGGACAGGATTGCCAAATAAATAAAAATAAAAAAAAATAAAATAAAGGAAGAGGAAAAGTGGAAAATGAAAGGAAAAAAAAATACAATCGCGAGCGCGTCCCTCGAAAGGACGCGAAAAGCCGACGGCTGGATTTCCCATCCCTCGAAATATGATATCCCAGGGGAACTCTCGCGAGGAGGGACGTACACGAGGAGAACTCCGAGAATCGTTAAGTCCGGTGCATATAATGGCGGGGGAAAAGAGGAAGAAAAATCCCCGGCTCCCAGGAAAGGGGATACGTCGATTTATCCCCCGGTACAAGTTTTAACGAGTGCCCGGGGAAAGTATTATCCATCCGCGGGAAACGAGCTTCGAACGCCGCCGTTCTTAAATCGTCGCGAAGCGGGGGTGGAATAATTCGCGAAAGTGCCCCCGGTATAAATTCCGCGCCCCGAGGTTAATCGTAGTTATCTGGCGCCGCAAGAAGAGGGTCGAAAAATCGGATCGAAGGTTTTTAAATTAACCCTTTCGTTACCTTGGACGAGATATCTCGCGATCCGGTAGTAGCGGATTGACGCTTTTGACGATAATCTAGCTTTCTAGCACCAATATTTTGACATTCTAGATGAATATATTTTATAACTAATTCTATTCGTAGAGCTAAAAGGAAGAAATAAATACAGCTACTACTGGATCGCGAGATATCTCGTCAAAAGCGTTAATCGGCCAGTATCGGGTCGCGAGATATCTCGTCAAAACCGTTGATCGGCCAGTCTCGGGTCGCGAGATATCTCGTCAAAAGCGTTAATCGGCCAGTATCGGGTCGCGAGATATCTCGTCCAAGGTAACGAAGGGGTTAAAGGGGGGAAGAAGAAAATTCATAAGATCGAGAAGGACGTCGATCGACTTCGGGAAAAAGTCGAGGCATTTCGACGGTGAAAAGAGATTCGTCCCCTTTGACGCGGTGATTCTCTCTCCCTCGAGGAGAATTCTCTAGGCTCGACCAATGCCCCGTTTCCAGGTTACGGACCGACGGCAGGATCGTAAACGTTTATGTCTCTTCGACATACGCGGCGGGATAATGAAAGGGTTCCTATCCCCGAGATGGGCAGGATTACGGCGATCGGTAAGCCGGCATATATAACAGCGGTTACCAAAACGCCCGGGCTAATTTCGGAGTCGGAAACCGGTAAACTCTACGCCACGGTAAACCTTGATATTTATAACGATCGGGAGGCGATAACGCGTGCCCGATCGGCCGCGATAGAGATCGCCGGGTTTAAAGACAATGTACCGATTAGTCGCATATTTATTAACCGAGCGTAGGTCCCGGTAAGTATAAAACGGACAAATCGATCAGGAAAGGGCCGGTAATAGTTTCAAGAGTCGGAGAGAGAGAGAGGCCCGCGAGTCGGATCGGCGATCCTATCGGGGTGAATGATTTACCCGATGGAAGCGAGAGATTGCCGGCCGATCGGGGCGCAACGGTTAGAAATATAATCCCGAAGTGGCCGGAATAGTTGCGCCGCAATGCCGGACGGTTTCATCGGCGGTGCATAAGCTCCGCCTATCGGTAGACTCGATCGAAGTGATCTATCGGCCGGGTTTGCAAATACACCCCACGGTCTAAAAGGAAGCGCCATAGGAGTCAATCGCGGCGAATTAAGGTGAAGTGAAACCCCTTTCAAATCAGTCAATTCGAATACAACACTTTTCTTTAAGGGTATTGGACCAAACTGTCCGAAACTTTGACACGTCACTCCTGATTATCTAAGAATTGTCTTAACACATTCAAAATTTGGATTTTAAATTGAAATTTCATTGAAATTGAATTGAAAAATCTTAAATTTAGGTGTCAAAGCACTTGGTACAGTCATAACTTTTTATATTTATAATATCTTTCCTGATTAATAGAGATTAACACCATTAAACGGCAACATTTTTTTGGGCATTGAATAATAAGTAATTTATTTCAGAAGCCAGTTTGATTAACTCCATACTCTAATGTAAATCGTAGACGAATACCTGGCAGTATAGTATTATTGGATTATCTGTTGCGGCCGTACATCGACGCCTTTTTTTTTTTAAACAGCCGAAGATGCTTTCCCCCTTTCAACAATATGAGTAATAAAATCGCATCAGCAAATAGATAGAAAGAAGCGCAATACAGACGGTAGTTAGTGTAACAGTGATCTCTCACGCTGAATGTTACCGTATACTTCACCAATATTACACGGCCTACATATTTTTTGGTCTTTTCAACATTACTCCCTGATTGTTTTTAAAGAACTAAATATTATACCGTTATAATCAAGATGAGTGAAACTAATAACAATGTGGATATGGAAAGCAGGGATGATTCTTCGATACGATTTATCAGCAGAAGGTCTGGGGCAAGAAGACGTTTATCGTGTTTCTCCGATTCATCCGATTGCAACGGTACAAATTCCCCAACAAACACATCGATTGGGAGGAAAAGAAGTCGTAATCCTGATAAATGGGCACGAAATTTACAAAAGCATAACGGAACAAAAGGTTTGGCATACAGAAATAGGGGAGGAAATTTAATACCTGCAAAAACATTTGTCGATATAAAATGCAGACGATTATTTTTTGGCTATTCTTTCTTATTAATTTTATATACCGTTAGATGAAAACTATAACTGTATTTATGTATTCTACATTATATATTTGAAGTTATATTATAGTAGGAATTTTAAAAAAGAATCTACATTACTTCATCGCATTTCTCAACTTTTTGTTTTATGGAGTTAATCAATGTGTGCACTGAGCGGCTCATATACCGAATCGGCGATCGACTCGAATCGGTAATATCGAGGAGCATCGAGATGCCCTACGCCCGAGGTGATTAATCGAACCGGCGGGATTTGTAATTACCCTACGGTCGATAATACCGAGCTCCTATTTTTTCAATTCATTTTCCAGAGATCCTCAGTCGTATCTCCACTAACCCCATTTCGGATTCGAGCCGATTAGCCAAGAGCGATTGCCTAATGACCATCGAAGCGACCGTACCGATATTAACTTTTCTCACGGTACCTCTCCTCGTTAGCGACTGTCCGGGTAATATCGCCTGTATTACGGTAATTAAATACCAGGTAATTCCAGAAAATCCAATAAATTCTTACACCGGGGTTCGCATTCGCTATCAACGATCTCGATAGAGATTAATTACTCGCACGTGCGTCAGGTCGTTACGTCATTAATCGATTACATACTTGGTCTGCCAAATTCATTAACCACCTCATCCCAGAGCTCGGCTGTCATCCCTCCTCCGATGTCGCGTCACTGTGACTCCTGGACGAATAAACGATCAATGGCGCCGTACTATCCAGGGTACTTCCTCGGTTAAACTCGTCCGCGATAAGGACGATTCACTGCACTTTCCCCACATTCACAAAGAAAAAAAAAAGAAAAAAAAACCACCAATCGTTAACGTCGTTAAGAACGCTCGCAAATTCCAACCACCTATTCTCTTCTCTCGATGGGGTTAGACCGCCCCCTCTTCAAAAACAAAATCAGCCTTTCTCCTTCTCAATCAACTCGAGAAATGAAATCGATCGACATCATCCGGGCACATCTTCGCACTTTCAGGCATCGCAAACATAAAACCCCCGATTATATCGTCCTGGGGTATTAATATAAAATGTCGGGCATGAGTTCGGCAAATTCGAGCCCACCGAGTGCAGTAGAATCCGCGTGGTGGTCGTTCGCGTTAATCCTCATGCAAATCTCATTATCTGCCCTCTTATCGGGGCAGATCGGGAACTAACGAGTGCATTTCACTGGGCGTCTTATCGGCCGTCGTATCTCCGCATCGACGAGTATCGCCGGGCCGTTCTCCTTGTACTCTCGAAAGCAGCCGGAGGAAATAAGAAAAAAAGTAAAAAGGACAAAACCGATGACGTTGACTTTGTCACCGCGTCACCTCGAGCTTGGCCGACCTTGCAGCCTTCGTATCGGTCGTTAACTCGCGTTTAAATCGGCCTCTCTTTCGAGCTACTTCGGTCTCGAATGCCGAGCGAGTGCGTCGACAGTTCGCTCCTCGTGTCCTTTTTCCTCTTCCCTGAAATTTTCGACCACGGGGCTGGGATATTCTTGGATCGCCTCCTTATGTCGCGCCCCTCCGCGAGGATAGGAAAAATCGGCGAGGAGCTTTTTTTTAAAAAACAAAAAATGAGAGAAATCCGTCAATTGGGACTTTGACGCTCGATCGTCTCGGGCTCGTCCTTGTACCTCTCGTATCGGTCGTTCGCTTCCTTTTAAAATGGGTTTCCTCTCGGATCGCCACCGCTACGTCATTTAATAAATATTAAACGACGAGACGCCTCTCGGCTTCGACCGTTGCCCGATCGCCCTTCCTTTGTCCCATGTACATATATCGGTGCTCTCAGGTAAATTCCGCAACGGAAACGCCGTTTTTCAGCCTTCGTAACGTCGTTAAGTCCGTGAGGATGACCTCGTGGTCACGGGAAAGGCGAAGCTCGAAGAAAATTCGCCGGATATCTCGTCCTTTGGATTCCCACGTGGTCGGTCCCTTCCTTCAATATTTCTCTTTAATGCCGCTTTCGTTGAGCTCGACCCACCCAGGACGAAAGTCGTGGCTACAAATCGACGTTCGTAGTCCTTACGATAAATTACAGGCCGAGGAATTACGCGACGAGTTTAAAAATAAATCTGCAATCCAGAGGTCGTTCGGTCGGATTTCTTTTATTCGCTTCTTCGGAAGGAAGACCGGCCGGGTCGCTTAGATATTTATTATACAAATCGAGAGATTACTCGGGGGTTTTAAATTAAATCGGCACCGATCGAGGGATTCTTCGGCTAGGTAGCTCCGAATCGGCAGTTTTTTTCCAGAGCACGGGGATCGAGAGTCCTTGGAACCGATCGATCCGCCTCGTCGCTTTGATATTTATTACGAGTCGGGATTACTCCGGGATTCGGAATTGAAATCGGAGGAATTTCCACGACTCGCTCGCCCGCGAAGGACTCCGGACGAGGACGGCCGACTACTCCGAAGGCGTCCTTGTCTTTGCCGCATCGTGGAGTTATTTCCGTTGAAACCGACCCACTCGTGGAACAGGTCTCATTGGGAATCGCAGCGATCGCGTAGCCCGCGATAGCGCACACCGGTCGGATAACGATTCTCGCTCCTCTTTTTCCCACTTTCCCGCTCGACTCCTTTGTGCGTTCTCACTTTTACGTCGGCGGCGCTTAACGTCCCTCTCGGGAGACAAGTGTAGGAGGGATTTCGGTATTCCGCGTCGCAAGGGACCTCCGAGAAAAATCCGAGTCTCGGCCCTGCCTTTGTCAGCCGCCGAACCTCCAAAATGGAGGTGACCGTTTATATCGGCGTGACTCACTGGACGTGACTCGTAGCTTTCACAGTTAGAGCAGGTCCGTTCCTCGATTTATACCTCGTCTTATTTCTTAAGGCTCCCGGTTCGGGGGATTTTTAAGGTGGGCGGAATTCATTATGCTCCAAAATTGAGATAGGTTATGTCGTATCTGGTTCCGCTCCAAAATACGGCGCGTCGGGTTTGATATCTTCCACTCGTAGCTTCTTGAAAGCCCAGCTTCGACCGTTTCACCGCATCGCATCAATCTCCGCGCGCCACGATAATAAATCCAGAAGAAACCACTCGGCGCATTTCAATGGCAGCCCCGAGGTCGGCCGAATTCCTGGCGTTCCCCGAATCGAGCGTTTATCCTCGACTCGGCGTCGGTAGCTGACTTCACGGCTAACGCGCGTTCCAGCCTTCGGGGGCCGTATCGAGCCCGCTCGGGGCGAGGTTCACTCCTAACCTCGCGAAATCACCACTTTCTCGAGTATCCCTCTACTTTGGGAGCCCGAGTCGCCCGGAAATATCTCGAAAATGCCCGGAATACTCGTTGATAGAGGGCTAGGTACCGAAAGTCGAACCTCGAACTCGGAGCGTCACCGTGGAACTCCGTAGCCCGGCCGCCTTGGCTCGTCGCCGGCGACTTTCTCCTCGGTCACTTATCGTCGGTTACTCCGCACTCGCGATTAGTCCCTAGTCACCGGGCACTCGGAACGGAATCGCGATTCACGAAGCTGAACGGCCGAGGTCCTCCCGACCACGTCCTCGGCTCGGCTATCGGGCGGAGCCTCGCGGCTCGTTTTTCCGTCGACCCTAGCACGTCCGCTCGCCACCGTTCCTCTGACCCCACTGATGTAAACACGCGATTTCGCGCGCGGCTCCTCCGGCGGCGGCGACGCCAGCGCCACCTAGGCCGCCCCCCACTACCGCCGCCGAGGCCGACTTCGGCCAACTCCGGCCGGTCTCGGCTACCCTCGGCTCGCCGCCAACCTCCGGCCACCTCCCGCCGCGACCGCTCCAGACGAGTCGACTCGATTCGATGCGGCTCGGCCCACTTTGCGGAATTCCCGCCTCGAAAATGATTGAAAACTTCTCGATATACGGTTTGTTTCTCAAAACCGATATGGGGAACTTCGAGGCTCCCTTGACGCCGACCCCCTTACGCGTAGAACGAGAGTTACGAGGTTACCCTTAACGAAATAAAAATTCCGAAACTTCCGAGGTGTCGCGATACCGCCTCGGGGACAAAGTGCGCGCTTCAAGCGAGGTTCGTACTTACGGTCTTTCCTGGGAGATTTAGGGAATCGTATCCTCGGAACTTACCTGAAACAAGGAAAAGAACGTGGTAAAATGAGGAGTTGCGTCAGTTCTGCATATTTTTATGAATTTAGGGTTCTTGGTATTTATGCTGTATCGTAATATTTCAAACGTAAGGCCGGCACATTATCTCGCAGTGACTTATATCGACCGCATTCAATGACTCGCTTGTTAACTCAATGATTAATCGCAATTTACATATAATCTCCTGCACGTGCCGCTGCTTTACATAAAATTGCTTCAAGGCCGTGATCGTCCCTTAACCGAAATCACTAGGCTTAAACCTCCGTTAACTCGACCGTGGGATCGACCCTTAAGGTGCACCATGTACATCGAATTAACCGAGGTCTAAGCCCTCTGACTTCGGCCAACTCGTTTGTGAAAACGGCCCTTGAACCATCTCGTGCGCGTTCGGTGTACATATTCGGTCTCGATTTCCAATTTCGCCTCGAAATTTACACGAGCGTTCCGCACAATCGCCTAACCGATTCCCAATAGCAAATTCAGGTCTGGCCAAAATGGCAAACAAAAGTTACCTTCACGGCAAGCAGTAAATCACATTGACCGAGTGAGAAGGTATTGTCCGCCGTACAAGGGTAATCCGCGTTGCTCCGCTTTCAGTGACAGAATTTCTTGGAAGTCTTTCAGAACCTCCCGCTGAAGAAAACAAAGGACTCGGACCCGAGATCGATATCTCCACATTTTTGAGCTCGCCTCAAGAAACGCCGTACCGTGACGTTCCGAACTTCTTCCAAGCCCAATTTTACTCTCCCTCTAAAATATTCCATCGCGTGGGCTCGATGTTAAAAATGTTTAAAGTTAAGAAGTTATTAAAATGCGCATTTCGAATCGACGTTCATTTATTTTTTTTTTATTTGGAATTAAAGCAGTTTACGTATGGGGCAACGAGCGCGAAGGCTGCATCCTAATTCGGTTTTTTGTCCAGGAAAGAAATCCCCGAATTAAAGTTAAGTACTTGGAGAATTAAGGAGCCTTCACATTCGGTCGTCTCCCCGTGCGTCTCATCGCGTAGATATTTAAGCCCGAATGCACGTACACTCTGTGAACGCTTAATTGCGTATTCACCCAACGTCAAGTTCAACGATCCGTTCGATCGCCTCTACCGAGGCGAAGGAGCAGACCCCCGTTAACGATAACTCGCATCCCTGGAAATCGCATTTCTAGCGGTTACTTTGAAAACAAACGCGATTGCTTTAAACAACATACGGTAAAAAGCTAGAGGTCTCGCATATGCGGAGATTCGGCTTTCATGAACCCCGATATTCCGGCCTGGGAAAGCAGGGTTCAGGACACCTGTGCGCGGAACATCCCGAATTTCCGCCTCATTGATAGTCCCGTCAGAGAATGTAGGGACGAAACCGGAGTACGTGTGCGGGGATTAGAAAGAGGGGTGAATTCCATGTAACTTCAGTGGATCCCAGGGGAACGAAAGTTTGGAGCACTGCACCTGCTTACGGCTTTCCCGCGTCTAACCGAACCGCGAGCGAAAATCGCACGTGCGATTCGGATCACCCTTAAATCTCCATCATTGATAAATAAAATATCCCGTTTTCTCATTTCCCCCATTTTCGAGGGCGGCGAAGCACCCTCGATCTTCCAGGGCACGGGATCTCAAACTTTCGAGGATCATCGTTCCTACGTTAAAAATGATATTAAATATTTTGTTTGAGAAGTTTCAACCCCTACCCTTTCGGCTCTCCTTGTCGTGGGGAAAAGGAACCGTGCATTTAATAGGACGTAAAAAGGAGGTCGAAATCAGCTCGTAGGAGACTTCTAGGGGATTTCCGGGGGAAGAGGCTCGGCGCACTTTGCATTACGACTCGGATCACCCTTAAATCCCTATCATCGATAAATAAAAAATCCCGTTTCCTCATTTCCCCAAATTTTCGAGGGCGTCCAAGCATCCTCGATCATCCAGGGCGCGGGATCTGAAACCTTCAAGGATTACCGTTCCCACGTTAAAAATGATATAAAATATTTTGTGTAAAAGCTTTCAACTCCTACCCTTTCGGCTCACCTTGTTGCGAGGAAAAGGAACCGTGCATTTAATAGGACGTAAAAAGGAGGTCGAATTCAGCTCGTAGGAGACTTCTAGGGGATTTCCGGGGGGAGAGACTCGGCGCACTTTGCATTACGACCCCTTTTCCGAGCCTTGGCAAAGCGTGGCGGAAAAGAAGGCTGCACGGCGACGCACGGCGTGCCCGGGGAACAACAATGCCAAAGCGGCGCGGCGCTGCGGCGAACTAATCGACGCTAGAATATTCATGAAGCCCGGGATAGTCAAGGTACGAGAGGGATGGACGTCGAGGACCGAAAGGGGTGGCGGGCCAAAAGGGGTAGGAAACGCCGGGTTAGCGTGCGAAATCCGACAAGAGGGTTCATCGCGGAGTTTGCGCTTGCATCCGCAAAGTCGCCGCCTTCCGTCGCTCGCGGTTTTTATTTTCCCGCGAGGAACTGCCGCATAACACGGCATTCCTGTCGGGACCCGGAAGGGAGGAAGCGTGCGAGCGCGAGGATTTAACGAGTTCCTGGGAACGGCGGGAAAAGTTTCCCCGAGGAGGGAACGACACTCGGAAATCCTTCGGCGCCCCCGAAGTGAGGGATCGTGCCTCCACTATATGCCGAGATCGGTGATATCGCGAGGGACTTTGCGATAAGGGAATTCTCTTACTCGAATTGCGGGATATCAAAGTCTCCGTGGATAATATGGCTTGGCGTTAAGTTCAATGAGAAACTCCTGTGATGATCAGCTGACGACGCCGGAGAGCTCGCCGAGTGGCGTGAAATCGACATTTTCGATGCTTCCTGGGGTAGGCTGGGCTGGATAGGTTTTTTCTTATAACACCTGGAGTAGGTGCTTATCACCATTCGATAAGGGCGTATCCGAGATATCCGGAGTAAGGTCCCGATTGCCTCACCCCTGTTTCACCCCGAGTGCCGACCTTGCTTTAAGCGCTTCGCGAGGTTTCCCTCCTCCTTCCTGGCTTCGCTTATTTGTAACGTGTACCTTACCATGGCCACTCGAGAGAGCAAGTTATCGCTTTACCGGTGCTTTCGCCAAGGTCGCCGGTAATTGACGGAGAACCACTAAGGACATGTTTTCGCGATGCAACCTGACGTCCGTACGACCTCCGACGCCCACCACGGTGTTTTCCCAAAGGAAACGTGCGTACCTGGATTTGCGATCAGGAAAAATACGGTGAAATTCCGCGCGAGAGTACTCGGTATACGTCGTTATTTAAGGTAAATGTCTTTGTAAAAAAAGAAAGAAATAAAAAGGATAATTATTTCTTATTAGAGATCATTGCGGCCCTAAGTGAGCCTTTCTCGACCCCGGCAAGAAGAGTAAAAGTACGAAGTGCAAAAAATGCCGGATGGCTATCCTCTCGTAAATGACACCTTGTCGATATCCTAGAGCTTTTAATTCACTTAATTCGCGGTTGCAGGTGTCCCTTGAAGGAAAACGTGCACCTTGCCATCTCTAGGACGGAACATGGTCGATCGCCGAGCGACGGGGTATAGATGAGCCACCGATATACTGTTTATCGAGGCGTTACGATTTCTCCTGGCCCCGTGGTAACGTCGAATTAACTCGCAGTGCTCCGCAGCCAGTGGCTTATAATACGTAGGTACACGTATAACGCACGTGACACGCAAGAAATATTACGGCAGTTATTCTCCCTGTCCCGCGGGAATAACGGTAAAGCCGCCGCCAGTTTCGTTCCGCACATTCCCGGCTTTTTGCGGCACCCTTGAATTTCTTCCGCGAGTACTCTCGCGCGGAAATCGCAGCCCCTTTGCGGAAGATGACGTTCTCCGAAGGAAACGTCATCTGGTTGCTGCGGGGCCGCTCGATTTCCCGAGAATCCCGCGGGAATTATCCTGGACAGAAAATCGACCGTCACGTACAAGTCGAACCACAGCGTCGCAATACACATTAATTTAATCAGGTGCGTGAGCGCAATGCAACGCAGACGACGGATGGCGCCAGGAGGCCGGCGGGAAATTTAAAAAACGGCGTAAAGATCGTTTTCATCGCACTCCATCGTCCTTGCCGCTGTTTTCAATCGGCACGATCGACAATTCGAACGGCAAGGCAATCTCCAACGAGACGACTGTTCCCGGTTAATTGTTTAACCGACGTCCACGTTACTCCGCACTTTGTAAATGGGTAATATCAACAGGGTGCAATTTACGGAATTAATCGCGGAAGTTGAAACGGAAGAAAATAACGATCCACGGCCATCAGTAGTTGCTAGGGGAATTACAAATGCGGAATGAAACCCGGCTTTTTGTGTAATCGCGAGCCGGTAATTGTATCGGGACGCGATCTCCGTTAAGAGTCCCTCGGACTAAGGAGGAGGTCTCTCGGCGTTATCCGATATTCAACGAAAAGCTCTTTTCGAGGGAAAGAAACATCATTCGACGGTATTCCGAAAGCTCGATCGATCGTAACGTGGCTGAGC